TTGTATACAGTATGTGTGTTAAAATAGGCACAAGATTCAATATCATAACGTTAAATGTTTAAAAATCTGGGGGGAATGTCCCCAGACCCCCCCTAGAATTGGAAATGTGGCAATGACCTGACCACTCAAAAATTTCTTCCTATGGCAGTGTAACAAGTAGTCAACTGTGATGACTTTTTTTAAGCATAAAATTACATTTTTGTATTAATTAATTTTCTCCAAACTTGTTAAATAATAAATTGTAGCAAGACACCAGTAAAAACCATTAGCATATGTTAAGTACAAATTAAATGTTATGTTTACAAAAGTAATGTATAAAAAAAATCAGGAGTTATTTTGGATTTACTTTTTAAAAAATATATTAAATGCTTAGAACAAATCATTCAACAAGATATCAGTTTTTTTTTGTTTTTTTTTAAGTTTTGAGTGATTCGATTTTTTTTGTATTCTTTTTTTAAGTTTGAGTGATTCGATTTTATGGGATGTCTTGCTTCTATTTGCCTAAAGCTAGTTGTTGTTGTTATAGGTGTAGAGAACAGAACATGTGATGTGATATTAGGTTAAACAAGTTCTACAAAAACAAAAAAAATCAAATCACTCAAACTTTCAAAAAAAAAAAGTTATTGTGTATAATAAGTTAAATCTCTTCTTCAGGGAGCAGATGATACACTTGTTAAAATCTGGAGTGCTTGGGATGGGCGATTACTCTCATCTCTCAGAGGTCACTCTGCGGAAATCACCGATATGGCTGTCACATATGACAACAGTCTCATCGCAGCCAGCAGTGTGGACAAAATAATCAGAGTCTGGTGTCTTCGAACGACTGCTCCAGTTGCAGTACTTACTGGGCACACAGGAATGGTGACCTCTTTACAGGTAATGTATCAGCAGTAAGTTCGATCTTCTTATATCTTGAATCAGTGTTAATGAAAATGATGAAGCAGTATTTGTACTGAATTCCATTTCAAAATAAAACTGAAAACTATTGAATAAAATGATAAATTGGGCTTTGGGGTTATTTTTAGTATTTTAAACAGCTTGTCTGCTGGATAATTCACGAGAACAAATTAGTAACATCAATTTTATAATCTTCAAATCCTATCATAGAATTGATAGACTATATTTAGGGATGGCCAAGGTACTCAATAGACATAATACAAATATGCATGCTAAAAAAAGTGTACAAATATTGAGTGCCTACATGTTATAGTCATCTAATGTTCATCTATTATTGGCTGGTAATTCCTGTTTCACCCTGTACTTAAGCTGTTTAAAGGAACACCAGTTTTCCATAAGAAAGCTAACCTCAAGGGGTAATGATAACACATAGAGAGTGGATTTAGGTTTAAACTAACGTTAATGATAAAGTAGTTAATGACAGAAACAAATAAAAGTGAGTGGTGATCATTTTTAAAATTAAAATTCTTAGTCAATGTTGAATACATTTAGTGTCATTAGGGAGTCAATCCCTGTATTATGTATTGAGTGAAGGAGTAAAAAAAATCAGTGAATATAATATTAACATTTACTACACACGTTAAGTTTTAATATTGAAAATCATCTATAGATGATCTATGTATAGTTATATCGTCCTTATGTTCTTGTTCGCATTCATTTTGGCACTGCTATCCCAACATCATTTTACATTTACAAAATGTTTTTTATTAATTGTATAAATATAAGTTCACATAGATGAATAAGAGATAACTAAGAACATCATACACGTGCCTTACTTTGATCTTCTTGTAATTGTAGGATAGTTCTCAAAAAGGCTAAATTATTGTATGTTTAATAATGTTCATTTTTGGAAAAAAAATGTAACAACTACATATGTCATACCATACCATGTGCAAGATATTTGCACTGAGAAAAACAATAATGTGGATTAAAAGGGTGGGATATTTCAAGCTAACACTTATTGTCAAATCGTGAAGCTCAGAACAAAAGTGTTTGAATGGAATTTGGAAATTGTGTATGCAGTGTTTTTGTATATATTTGTATATTAAAAGATTTAATTTTCAGTGTTCAAAATGCTTGGCACAACTTTTCAACTTCTGTACATGCTGTTTTGTTCTAAGTTGAATAATTTGACCAAAGAATATTAGCTCGAAACATCGTCTTCCAAAAAAAATATATATATATATATATAAGTTTTTTTTAAATTTGTAACCTATTCATGTATTAATTCAACCTCACATTGCCATGTATGGGTTTGTCATTTGATTTTGCTTCTAGGGGAAATGCATCATTTTATAACTGTGAAATTTTTTGAAATTTGTTAACATAGAAGCATTTTTGCAGTTTCAAAAAAATACTTCATCAAGTATTAATATTTAGGTAATAGAGCTTCTATAGTAACACGGTCTTCGAATTGCAGATGAATGAGGTATGCATCTTAATTGTGAAACGTATAGTTAACCAGAGATATGTGTGGTGACTTTTGTGAATTTGAAATATGTTTGAAAATATTGCCTAACAAGCAATTCAGCTTTAATGTAAGATAGTAAAAATTAAATTAAGGAGCTTAAACACATAAACTTTTTCCTTCAGAGGAGCATACAACCAGATTTGTACATCACAATTAATGCTGAGGAAGTTTTTTTTTTTGGGAGGGGGTAAATAGAAAGCTATTGATAAGCAATTGAAATCATTACCAAAGTTATGTAAATACATTTCATTTTAAATTATCAAATTACTGGCTTGTTTTGATACTGGTGAGCTTCTCGTATTCCAGTAATTTTATGTTTTTTCCTGTCATAACGCACAGCACAAAACATTTACCACACAAAGTAATTTATTTATTTGTCTAAAATATGTGAGAATCCCCATTACTAGTTTGTGGGATTAATATTTTGGTATTTTCTATTTTTTTTTTGTTTGACTCATGTTATTAGGAATCCTGAAACCTAAAAGCTTTTGACCCAAAAGTAATTTGGGTAATAAATAGTTTATAAAGAATTTTGTCACAAAAGGCTTTGGAGTCCATGTAAAAATTTCTAAAATTTAAAAATAATCATCATTCTTAGTCTTAGTAAGTGGTTTGAGTAGGTAGGGTAAAGTTTTTAATAATTTTAATAATCCATGCATCAGCAACTGCTGTTCTGTATTAGTTTCTGACGTTTTATTGAAATGAAAACAATGACTGAAATTTTGTCAACTTTACTACTGTTTTTTTAGCTATGGCATAGTGGCTCGTAGAATGGCCGAGTTTTTCAAGTACAAAGTTTTAGCTCATAGCTCTGTCATCTTTTGACCAATATGAGATCTAATTACAGATTTGGATTCAGGAGGTCAAACAGTTTTGATTGATGTAATTTACCACACCCAAGGTCTCTTAGATTAATTTACTCTAATCCTGCCTAAAAGAATTTCAATTTGAGGCTGGTAGAAATCCTGATGAGTAATAAAATCAAATCAGTTATATGCGCAGCTCGTGCTTGATATTGATGCCATACAAAAGTATAGATAATAAAAAGGAAAAAATGTCTCGTAGATTAATTTACGCAAATCCTGCCTAAAAGAATTTTAAGTTAGCTGTGGCTATTGAGGATTCCCTCTTGTTTTCTAAAGATTTTA